TCATCGGCTGATTTTTGAAAGGATTTAAGAAATGATTTTCATATTTCTATTTAAATGCTTTGGGAATTTATAACTTGCTCAAAATGGCTCCAAATTTGTTGAAACAAATTTTGCTAGGTTCCTTGTTACCAGATCTACATGATAAAAATATTGCATGTCATTTTTGAAATACTTTTCTGTGGAGTTTTATTTAATCATTGAAATTGTTGTTTTCTTGAGAAAGGCATAATAAATCATAGAAAGATCAGAAAAATAGGATTTCCATGTTTGTTACTCTTCTTGTGTAATGTACTTTCTAGGAAAAATATATGCCATGCATGTCCTGTAGAAAAATTATGAGATGTAGTTCAAGTGCCTTTAATGGCTGATTTTTGTTATTTTTGCTAGAGAGCAAAATTTGTATAAAACATGCATGTGATAATTTTTGTGCAATGATTATTTACTGTATAGAACATAGAAAAAATATTACATATGTTGTTTGACACTTTTCATAATACAAAGTATTTTTATGTTCATAATTATGCCATAGCTTGTCATTTTTGTGTAGGCTACTCCACTTATTCAAATGTCATAAAAATTTAATGGTAGACTACTTAGGGTAGTACTGTGCTATGATAATTTTCTAAGATTTTTCTAAGCTATAAAAATAGATGTTGCTATTCAAACCTATTATTAATTAAGGTTTAATCAAATGTTGCTTTAGGTATGATTAAGAAATTAGTGAAGCTTTGGTGTGTCTTTGAAGCATTTAATGAGATGTGTTGACTTAGCATATTAGTAGTAGAAGAGAATGCAGTAGATGACATGTGCTTGTAGTACATGTTCTTGGATGATGTTGACTACCTTGCATTCAAGCATATTCATTGTGTTCATTTCATCCGATGCACCTTTTGCATAAGCACTTACGCACCTGCATCATACAGGATCGCAAACCGAGAGCCCAGTCGTCATACCCGAGGAGCCCGAGGAGCAGCTCGAGGTGCAGCCGCAGGAAGTGACCGAAGCAGACGAGGAGGACGTTGAGGAACTTTCGGAGTGCCCCGATCACCGCCCGAGCTCCTTCGAGAGCGGCAAGCCCCGGAGCATTTTTCTCCCTGGTTTGCGATTATTAATTAATGCTCTATTTTAATTGATGCATTATGTTCAGGAATTGTTTGCAACCGTTGCTGCATTATACCTTGTCTACCTTTGTTATATTATATCCTTGTTATCCAGGTATCCGCAGTCGAGTCAATGCTTAGCTGGCTTAGACCGGTAGAAGTCGGGTGATTTCCGGTCACCTGCGAGCTTTAGGTGGTTACCTGGATCTGCTTGGATAACTATGTAGTCATGGTACAACTAAGTGTTAATTGAAGTTGAGACCGGATGGAGACTTACAGAGTTTTGGACTGTAGTACTTTCCATCTGTGTCGATTAAGGACCGACCGTTGTTGGGCCTCGAGTCATGTTGAACGCATGCCTTACATTTAGCTGGCCGAATAAAGTACCTTTTGACCGCGAAGCTGGGAGATTATTCGGCCGAGTAGATTGCCCGCAGCGCACTGTACCGGAGTAGGTGTGGTAGGACACGGGGGCGCAATGATAAGACCGAAAGACAGTCGGTCGGCCCCTGGGTACATGTGGTTCCTAGCAAACTCGAGTTTTTCCTGGATAGTTGACTCGGTGACCGATATCTCACTTTAGCGGGTGAGTGAGGTTTGTGTAAGGAATAAATCACTAGCTGGTTAGGAATCGATTCGAATCGTTATCGCTCCTGGATAGTGAGCACTTGACTTGAGTGACTTCATCGTAGTAATGTTGATGGAACATTTGGACAGTTATAATGAATATGACATTATGGAAGTTGTTAATGATCATTGGTTATCATTATTTGCTTACTCACATGCTTACTCTAGTATAGGTGCAAATATAGTCGACAGGTTAATAATAATTAACTTGACAATAATGCTTTTGGAAAGGTTCTTGAAATACTAAAAATGCCTCTTTTTGCAAATGAGTCAGCTACCCTACTATAAAGCTCTTCATAATCCTTGGTGTCACTTTATTTTCGGTTATGTCGGGTAAGTCTAGCTGAGTACCTTTTCATACTCAGGGTTTTATTCCCACTTGTTGCAGATGGGCAGATGTATTATGGCTACTGTATCAACTGCCTTTATCCTGCGATGGGTGATGCTTAGGACCATGGGCATGGGCATTCCTTACGTCTCGCTTAATGCTTTTGTTAGAGATGATCATTAGCTGGCACTGTATTTGAACTCCGCGTGAGTGGGTGTGGTTTTGAACAAATGGCTTCCGCTACTTTTATTCGAACTCGTTTTGTAATAACTATGTTTAAACTCTGATGTACCTGTGATGCGAACTTTTATGTAATATGTGATGGTGACCGCTAAACTTATTACGATCTTGGCTGGTATGTGAGTTGGTTTAAAATCCTTCGTGATTTCACGGACTATCGGGTTATACGGGCTTAAGTTTGCTAAATCGTCTGCTTTGGCTGGTGATTTTCTTACTTAATTTCGTATAATTGATCGGTTCTGTTACATCTTCGATCTAGAAAGAGAAGTTAGCTGTGGTTACAAGGACGACGAACAGGACGACAACAACAATGGTGCCGATTCACAGGAGGCACTCTGCAATGATCCATATTGCACCTGCTCTAACCACAAGAACAAGGGGCCTCCGTCGTCGCCCCGTCACCACCACCACCAACAATTGGAGGCTACTGTGGAGAAGGTGCAACATAATTTGCTATGTGGCCATGCTATTAGGACGATCCTATTTTATTCACATGGCACATCCTTGTTTTTGTTGTTTGTTTTAATTACCTAAGGCATGTTAGGTTTTGTCGAAGGAGTACCCTAGTTCGGTACATGTTCTCAGATGTCATTTCATGTGTTTTATGTGTTGAATTATATAATATCCTATTTCGTTAGGTTTTGTTTGCAGCACGTGGTCATATTTCACTACGTTCGCAATATTATACTGAATATTATGGCCACCAATAATAAAAACAACTACATAATAAAAAGTCTAATACTATGCCACATTAAACAACACAATAATATTAGAAGTACATGCCGACAGTAGACAACATTGTTCATTAATAAACCATAGAACTAGTAAGTCATGAAGACTACTGAGTGTAACGAGGCCAATTTTCCTTCCTCAGGGCATCGGAATTCTCCTCCATCGCTGCTTTCGCTCGGCGTGCACGCTTAAGCTTCTTCTCCCTCTTCTCCCTGTACGCAGCAACACGCATCCTTTCCTCCTCTTCCTTATGCTTCTTTTTGCAGCCTCCTCTCCACGGCTCTTCTCCATCATCACCTTGTCCTCTGTCTCCCACCGCAACAGTTTCTGCATCCATTTTTTTTTGTCTTCAGGCTTGATCTCAATGTCGATCCACTGCTCAAAATCACAGAGCGATGGAGGGGTCTGAAAAAAATGCAATTGTTATAAAACAAAAAGATCATGCAAGATGTCATATGACACAAACATCGATTTCTCACCATCTTGTTAATGCGGCGCTGACGAAGTGTAGGCTCAAACGCAAAATTGGAACACATCCAATACCTTTGCCTATACGTGTCATCTTCATCGGACTTGGCTACCTTACAAGGATCGCCGCACAAGCACATGCGCACTGGAACACCACTAGGCAGAGGCAATGGGTCGAAGGCATTTCCGGTCATCCGGCTATAATTAAAATTCAACCAATTTCGTTCTAAGAACCAAAAGCAATTAACATTAAACCATAAACCTAGGATTTCCCATTTGATGCACAACAATGAACCCATAATATAACAACATGCGCTGAGGTTACCTTGGTTTGTTAGCTTTTTCACGTCTTGGCATCTTACTGTTGTATCATATAAATATTAAAAATTGCATGAAACCCTAAGTAATGACGATTCTTAGATTAAAAATTTGACTAATATATACCGAATTGATGCAAAAAAAACTAGAAAGGGAGCGAGGATACCTTGCTCTCGAAGATCTATGGATCACATCAAAGTTTCCAAGGTCTAATATGCCGATTCGTGAGGTAGGACGAAGTGGAGAGAGAAAAAACCCGAGAGAGAGGAGAAAGAAGAGGAAAGATGCTTGGGCAGGAAGGTTGGGGCCAGGTTAAAACATCACCTCAGCGCCAGGATCTACGGTGCCAAACTCGGCGCCAAGATCTACGGCGCCAAGCTCGGCGCCAGGATCTACGGCGCCAAGCTGCCTGCCAAGTCACCGCCATGTCTACGTCGAGCCCAAGACCTAAGCGCCAGAATCTATGGCGCCGAGACGTGTAAGCTCGGCGCCATCAACGATGACGCCGAGTTAAGGGTTCAGATTTTGAAATCATACCTCAAGGGACATATTTATGATTTTTTTCAAAAAAAAAAGGCTAAAAAATAGAAAAGTTGGTGAGTACGACCGATACGAGTGAGTGGAGGGACCAGTGCCATCGCTGTACGAGTGAGTAGTGTGCAAATCGCACTCTGCAATTCATCAATCAAAGCCATAAAAACGTTCCTTCCAACCTGCAACCAGCGTCTTCCTGAATGTACGATGGATCCTGATGCACCAACTACGCCTGCACATTCCTCACAGGAGTTCAGCGACATGCACATCCACCTCTGAACTAATGCAAACAAAGACAGCATCACATCTTAAAATCTGACGAGAAATTACTCCTATTTCACAGTCCAACTGAATCACCACCTAGTACATTACATCCACCTGCCCTGCCTGCTATTCTCCTACAGCTAAGCCAAGAAGCTAAACACCCTGTTCATTCATCCTTTCATTGCCCACAAATCTCCTGCAGACTCCTCAATTGTATTCCTCTCCAGCAGCAGGCGAGATTACCTCTCTCGCTAGTCGCTAATCGCTAAACAAAAAAGAGAGACACACCCTATGCCTTGTTCATCGGCTTGCTTGAACAGCAGACACAGCTTCAGGCAAGTGCCTGCTGCCACCCTTCTCAGCCTCAAGACTTCAGGGCAGGGCGCGCGTCAGCTCCTGTTGTGTATCGGGTCGGAGCCCCGCCGGACCCTCCACTTGCTCATCTGCGCCGCGCCGACGGCCGTCGCCGTCGCGAACCGCTTCCCTGTCGATGCGGCGGGCGCCTCCGCCGGCGTCGGCGCCCGATCACGGCCGAGGACCATGTCCTCTCTCCTTAGGCCGCTCACCATGGCAGCAGGGTGTACCACCAGGAGGCAGACAAAGGCCGAGATGGCAAACAGCCTTGACCACCTTCTTGCACTCGCCATGGCGTTGTTGTTGCTGCTGCTGCTGCGCCTCAGCTGGAGACATGCAACTTGTGTTGCCTGCTGTGCTTTGGCTCTAGTAGTTTGGTTGATGCAGTACAACCATCAATCACAGCACTGTCCTGTCTGTAGATATAGCCCCCAATAAGGCCACGCCGGGTCCCAAAGCACAAAGGGACAAGGGAGGCATGTCTAAGGCTGCTTATAGAAGGTTCTGAGACCCTGACAGTTAGATTTTGCAAAAGTCATTGGAGTGGTAGATGAGGGGAGCCTGACCACCCCATCATCCATCCTCTAATAGTGCTCAAGAGCAACAGCAAGAACAATCCCTTGCTTTAAACCCCTGTTGCCACCCGCCTCTATCTACTACTGTCTTCAGTAAAAACCAAAACTGAAGCATTCATGGATAGAGAGGAGAGGTTGTGGTAACCAGCAGACAACAGTACAATCCAAGGCTTTGCGCTTTTGTATGCTTTTCATTTCTTGTGCTTGCCCTCCTTGCAAGAAGCACCCTTTTCACTTTGAATCTTCCAAGGCCACCAAAGCTAGCCATTCAAACTTAAAGGATCTGCACCAAGTTTCAATAGCTTCTTTCCTCACGTTTCTCCATGTAGGATGCCAACATCCAATGCTTTGCCTACTTTGGTGCAGAGCGCAAAGAGGGGATGAATCTTAAAGCATTGGGGAGAGTTTTTGGGATCCAACGGGTGTGGTTTCTTGGTCATGGTCCAAGGATTGCATTTTATCAGTGGCAAAGCTGAAAGATAAAAAAAAAAAACAGAAACTAACTTCTTTTAAAGTAAAGATAGGGCCACCTTATCTGCAAATATACTGATTTGTTGAGCGTTGAGCACTTATAGATGCAGAAAACAAGTAGATGAATAATAATAAAGTGATGCAAGATTATGCTAAGATCCCTGCTTGTGAAGTGGGCAAGGGAGCCCACAAGATCATCCTTGCTGAAAAAGAAAAGGAGGAAAATTAAAGGTGGGTGGTGAAGGAATGAATTTCCATGATTTGGTCTTTTCTTTGGATAGATTCCTAAAGTGCTCATTCAACTATTTTATTTTGAAAGCTAACAGATTTATGCATTCATATCTTGCTAAAGGACCAATAAACTAACAATCAAAAGTCTTTCATCTAGGATGGCAAGTTAGTTACCTACAAAAATTAGGATCCCACTAATAAAAAGAGCAATCATATCATGCTAGTTATGGAAGAAAATTAGGTCTAGAAATCCTAGATCAGAAAAGGCATTGGAAAACAACAAATTTAAATTTACTTCTGTGCTAAGTAATAGGTAACACAACATAGCCAGAGTTAGTGAGTTATTACCACATGAAAAGAACAATGATCTTAAAGCAGATAACATGTTGATCCGATCATAGTAATGATGATGCACTGATTAAAGTAACAACACAGTTGATTTCAAATGTCACGGTTATTTCTTCTTTTGGTCATAGTTACTTGCAAAGTTATATGCAAGTAAAGACGTACAAGTACAGAACAAACCAACTTTTACCAAAGATTGCACTGGAGCTAATGCATGTCCTTTTACTTCTCTTTAATATGAGCTGTTAAGACATAATGTTTGCATTCACTAACTACAGATAATTTAGTCTGAAACAGATAATGCAAAATTGATGGTGCAACTTAGATCATGTCATCTAATCTACTTAGGAAAATGACTCGCGGCACAGCACTTAATTGCTCACAACTGCATATATATGGAGACACGTCTGCCCGGTGCATATGATCAATATTTTGGAGGACATTAGAGATGAGGCCAACCTATGGTGCCTGGTGAGTGCAAAGGCCTTTAGAAGCATTTGGCCATGATTTTGTTATTAGGTCACTGGTCGAGGCTTTTCTTTTGTTTTTGGCATTTTCACTTGTTTTTTGGACCTTTGCCCTAATGGGCATGTATGAGTCTTCTGTCTCTTGTCTTCTTAATATAACGATGCACAGATCTCCTGCGTGTTCGAGACAAAAAGAATCGTCCATATCCATCTAGGTAACCAATACAAGAAAATTTGCAAACTATGGTGGAAAACATCAGTTGTTACTGTGAGCAAAGTAGCCCTAGATTCAATTCTTAGTTTGCCAACATATGCTTTATATTCCCATGAAACAAGTATTCTTACTCATAAATAGCTACATTGAAGACAGCTTCATAATTGTTTCAAGTTCTACAAATGGATCAATAACTTTTTTCCTCTATTGTCTATTCCTTGTTTAAGTTCATTTGTCGTGATGCTATTTTCAGTCTAAAAGAGTAGTTTAGACTGAGAACCGCACCACCTTAAGTACACCACTGAAAACTGTAGCTGGTGGGCTTCAGTGGCGGATGCAGGATGGGGACAAAGGAGGGCTAAATAATGAAGATTTAGAGCTAGAGCTAGAGATTAATAGTGATTTGAGGCTAAATAACCGTGGTCTAATGAAGAAATCAGACTCACTGGGGGGGTTGTAGCCCCGGCAGCCCCCCCTTTGGATCCGCCCAGTGGTGGGCAAACAGAAAGAAGTTCAACAAAAGGTAAAGGTAAAAGAGAAAGTACAATATGTTCGAATGAACCTCCATACCCTTGCTTCTGTGAAAAGAGAGCGGTCTGTTCGTCCTTGGCTTGTCCACACCTGCAAAGATGCCACCACTTCACCTGATAAAATCATATGATTTTCAATGTGGGGGGAGGGAGGGGTGACGTTTTGTATGTTTCTATGCCTTGATAAAGCCAACATGCAAACTTCAGTGACTCTTGTAACAAAATGTTATCATTAAGTGCTCGCAAGAAAAAAAACAGAATATACTTTCAGGCACAAGCCCAGCGCAAGGCATTCCTTCTTGGCGTTTAAATGGAAGCAGCGAATTCCCGGGGATGGTGAACCAAAGCAGTGATTTGTCCTGTGCCAATGCCATCATTAATTGCTTGCTTCAATAGCGAAGTAGCGACGGCTGAAGAAGCCAGACCACGCTTTCCCCCCTGCCCCAAAAGCCATGGCTACTCGTCGAGGCATTCCGTCGAGCAGATTGGCGACGCCCTATATCAACAGAGGCGCACAACGTAGGACCGCCAAATTGCATCAGCGAGGCTGCGGCGCTGCGGCCTGAGAACAATCGCAGCAAATGGAACTGGGACAGGACACGAGTGATGGATCATCATCGACATGGATTCTTGCGGCGAGGGATTTGCGTGGGAATTCGGAAATGCAGAGGCCGGACTGGAGGGCCAGCTGCAGAGCACAGAGCAGACGCGTTTTTTAGGGAGACTTTTTCTGCGTGCCATTATAAAAGATCGCAATCCACTGTGTGTCGCTAGAAAAATTCAGTGGTCTTCAGTGTCACTACTCCAATTTTTTTGGGTCCTCCACGTCACTTCCGTCAATTTAGGCTCTAACGCCGTCAAACTGCAGGTGTGAAAAGACGAAAATACCCTTAAATTCAAATATGTTATTAATTCTTTTTAGCATCTTAACGACTTCAAATGAAAAAAACTCAAAACTAGAAAGTTATAGATCTCGTCGAGATCTATAATTTTCATATAAAAATTATTTTCATTTAATTCCGCAAAAAAATTATGATTTGATATGATTAATATATCTTAGAAAAATCATCATATTTTTTTGCGGAATTAAATGAAAATAATTTTTATATGAAAATTATAGATCTTGACGAGATCTACAACTTTTTAGCTTTGAGTTTTTTCATTTGAAGTCGTTAAGATACTTAAAAAAAATTAATAACATATTTAAACTTAAAGGCATTTTCGTCTTTTCACACCTGTGTTTGACGGCGTTAGAGCCTGAACTAACGAAAGTGGCATGAAGAACCCAAAAAATTAAAATAATGACGCTGAAGACCACTGAATTTTTTCAGAGACAAAAAAAAATTACGATCTTTTATAATGACACACAACAAAAAACTCTTTTTTAAGGCGGAAGAGGCCGCACCGCAAGAAAACGCCCTCTGCATCTGCCCGTCCACGTGTCCGATTCCGATCTGACGGACCGGATGGAAGCACCGGAACTGCCGGCCCCCGCCGGTCGACTTTGAAGCACTGCGAGGCGGCGACACCGGGGAAGAGAGAGAGAGGAGCCGCCGCCTCAGGCCTCAGCCCACAGCCCTCGCCTCACTCGCTCCGCCGCTGGCGTAGTGAAGAGAGCTCCGAGGTGGTATCCCTTGTATCGCATCGCATAGATTGCGGGCTCTACTCGTCGCGGTTCCCGCGAGGTCCGCCGATCCGCGCCCCGCTCTGGATCTCCGGTTGATTTGTTGTTCTGGAAGGTGTGTGAAAGAATGTCTCGGACTAGTTCCGCCTCTTGTGATCTGCTGCTTCTCTGTTTCAGATTTGGCACTCTGCTATCTTCGTGACCCTTTGTGGTACCTCAGCGATTGGGTAGTGGCTAGTCTTTTCTTTCTGTTTGGGTTTACCGGCTGGGCGCGGGGTCTCTCACTACGTCACGGAGTCTTCAAATTGAGATCCTTAACTACTGATCCATGATTTCGTACATGAAATTGTGATATGTTCAAATACGTGGGTCTGATTTTCGTTATTGTCGAATAATACTTTGGATTTTAATAGATGTTTGTTGCTCTCAAGGTTCCGCAAAAGAGCATTGAATGCGAGTTTAATTGTTGTAAACATTGAACACAACCAAGAGAATTCCCAAAGCGCGTGAAGTACTCCGGATACAGAAAAGTATCTCGAACTTCTCCCCCCGGCCCTACTCCCCAACCTAGAGTAGCTAAGTGCGGATGAGGAAAACAAAGTAACTATATTAGCTGGCAAGGAGTGATTAAGGTTTCCAACCAATGATATGATACCCAAATTCTCTTGGTAATCTGTTTCAACCATGCAACATATTGCTGCCTTTTGATGAAATCTAGATCTAGAACTTCATGGATTTACTTCCTAGTTCCTACTTTTTCCTATTGTTGAGGAACATTGTTTTACATAGATATCAACTAAACTGTCGTACGGAATCTTAATGTTAATTCTGTTAGG